CTGACCCGGCAGACTTCGTACTGTCTCAACGATAAATAAAAGACCTAAACTTTTGTATAAAATGATTTTAAAACAAACAAATCGAATCCGTATTTAATAAAAAAGCATTTTTTGAATAAAGCATGAAGTTTTATTATTATTTTCGACACATCATGTTGCTTGCTTACAAAACAGTTTTCCTGAAATACTGGCTATTTATAAGGTTTAAATTTCATATTTACAGACACACACTGTTATGATACAGTCTGTTAACCAATTTAAAGCTTTCTCATAAACTATATTTTTTCTTTTGTTTTGTGGTGCGTAAATAAACAAAGAAGACGGTTTTCCGACGCGCGAACATGCGACGTATAATTGTCCATGCGCGAGTCTGACGAAAATCACCTAACAGAATCATGGCCCCACCAAAAATATTTTGGTTGTCACGAAGATCTTTCAACGTTCTGTCCAGTGCCTCCAGTGACCTCTTATGGGCCATTGTGCATTCATCCCAAACAAGCAATTTTCATACCTGTGGGATCCATTGCGCTATTTTGGCGATGTTGCAAATTGGTGTTTCGGTGATTTGCATGTTTAATTGTAATTTTAAGGCAGAATGTGCAGTTCGCCCGCCTTCTAGCAGAGTCGCAGCTATTCCAGATCAAGCCAACGCTAGAGCAACATTTCGCGATCTGATCCTCGCCAAAAGCAATGAAATTAAAAACGTTTTTCCGGTTCCTCCGGGAGCATCAAGGAAATAAATGCCACCAGATCCACTGTTCACAGCTTTTATCAAAGTGTCGTACGCAATTCTTTGTTGTTGATTTAATTGTGGAACATTTGTACGAACTGTTTCGGCCAATGCTTCAATGTCGTACTGTTGTTTTCTTTGCAACTCGTGGTTTGCATCGTGCATATGACGTTTGGGTGCTGTCATTCCCAAACACGACAATACTTTATTTGCCACCTATAAACACATATCTTCTATCACGCTCAATGTCTCATTGTATATTTCTTCAATCATTTGTAGTGTGGGATTCAAAGTTGGACGGCGCACGCGATGCAAAACATCCTCAAACATGTCATCTCTATACTTAACCCACAAATCTCTTGGATTCGAAGGGAAACATGTCGAAACGAATCGCAAACAATGTACGAATTTGATTTGGCGATGAAGATATTACATAATCCATGAGCTTATCATCCCAGTGCGAATCGTTCTCAGGTAAATGTAATAGTTTACATGTCTCACGGTAAGTCGCACACAGCGGTCCATTAACTGTTCTTTCAGTGTTTTAAACGATGACGGACTACGAACTATTAACTTTCTCAGTTGTTTAAACGATGACGGACTACGAACATTCACCAACAACAACCGAAATAATAACATTCATCGTTATTTGGATGTACTATGTAGATGCGACCCAGAGCGTCTGAAACAAATACATTTGATGTCCTTCAACTTGTGGTTCCTTGTTTTCGACGCTGAACGATTTCGATGATGCGTTCCATGTGTGGCATGTCAGCATACAGCGAAGTGCGAGCAAAATCATCAGTTTGACAGACTGTGAAGAAACTTGTTAATGTTGTCCACGGTGGATATGCCGCCCTGTCTGCCGCGTTAGATTCATTAAAATAAACTCGTTGATTATTTTCTAAGTGGACTGCCATATGGACTACTGTAGGGTGTCTTTCATGGATGGCAAATGAAAATATACGCCAAATTGCTTCGTTGCTACTTACATAGTGACCCATCTGGTACTGTGATATTTCATCATTTGCATTGGTTACACCGAAGACAGCCATATCACTACCTTGTTACATATTTACATATGTACTTTATCGACTTCACAGAGTTACAAATATTCCACAATGATGTGAGTCTCAAAAGCTTTGAACAGTATGGCCAGAATGCACAATCCAACGATGTTCTTACATCACATTTGTCCTTTTACTTTCACAACTACCGATCGCCCATTGTCCCGCAACTGATCGCTACAATACAATAGATATTCATCATTTCCCGTTATGGGTTTCAGCAAGCTGGTCTCTTGGGTATCGCTTGGAACACTTGCCGTCGACCATACAGGGTGAATTAATAGTTTGAAAAGTTCCGCAAAGGTCCATGTATCATGTGTTTGGTAACTACTGCATGCAATTTTGGGTCAACTATTTCATCTGGAAATTCAGCTGAAATTATGGAATCAATCTCATCTGGCTTTATTTTGTCCACTAACAAGACTAAAATATGCGCATGTGACAATCCACGCTTTTGCCATTCTACAGAGTAGATCCAACAATGTACTGGGCCATACACTCAATGCTTTATTAAGAAATTCATGAGAGATTTTAATTTTTGTTTAAAAACTCTGGCAGTTATGTCATGTCTACCAACTGGTGTTTTGCCATGTAGTAATTCCCTCTCGATTTCGGACCATTTTGGGTTACATGTGAATGTAACAAGTAAGTCTGGGCGGCCACAATGCCTAACATATGACATAGCATCCTGAGCATATTCATGCATGTGGCGTGGGCTTCCTATATAAGTGGCTGGCAAAATTGTCATTCTTCCTACATTATTCATATTGCCATCGGCATTTATAGCATCGCAGAGATGAATGTATTCCTCTGATCGTAGCCGTCGTTGGTTCAAACGGATGAATTTCAATTGTTCAGTCTCAATTTTGACATACATGTCAACTGCAAACTGATGAAAAAGTCGACACATCAAAATGTGATTTACTTCACCTTGACGGATCTGTATGAATAGAAATTCATAGCACTAACTTTTTTGTTTTCAGCCCCTGCAATCAAAAATGAGAAATGTTTAAATTGTTACTTATATGAATTGAATTTAAAATATTGTTTAATCTTGTTCAATTTATTTACCTGTTACTTGATTTACCATTTTGATATTAAAATGATATCAATCTTCCCCCTGCTTGAAGATCAAAGGATATTGTAGTGCATCATAACTCCTGTGTGTTTCCGATACACGTTTTAAAACACTATTCCCACGATAAAGCACAATATCTCTAGATTGGAAATTTTCTTCCACAATGACAACAGCCACTTCATCAATGGGTGAAGTAAGCCTCCTGTGTGTTCACCGTTAGGTGTTTTGTCAACTCGAATGATAATATTATGGCTATCAGATGGCATCCAATGCAATGCTATTTTGAACATGTTTACTAAATTGTTATTCTGATGAAGGAACATTTGTAATTCTTGGACAACGGTTCTCTTCACTGTTGGATTGTGAGCACAACGATTATCAATTTCCGCATCTGAATTGCCCATAAAATAAATTGTAAAAATTGATGATCTGCATCAGGTAGTGGTAACAGTGTTCCCAGTAAATTTGTCCATGTATTTGTAATTTTTAAAAATTTGTCCATTAATTATTTCCGATATATATATATATATATATATATATATATATATATATATATGTATATATATATATATATGTATATATATATGTATATATAGGATATATCATATTAATATATATTAATACAAACTTGAATATTATAAAAAAATATTCTGGTATAATAGCTTGAAAGTATGTCATCTGGAAACAGCTTTTATATATCTGAATGTTGGCCAAGAAGTGCTTAGAATCATTTTCAATCCCAGAAACTAAATAGCGTAAAGGATCTGGTGGTGGGACCAATTGTGGCAATTTTACTTTGCCTCCAGCACAACATAATCCAATAGATTCACCAGTGTATTTTAACGCCTTAAAATATTTACAAATTATTTTCATTTCCCAAATTGTTACCGATTTGTCGGCACAATAACCAATTGATTGACACATACTAGATCCTCCAACGCGCACGCGAATTTGAACTTTATGCATTTCAAAACGAACATTTCAAAACCAAGATCAGATAAATCCGTTCAGCCGTTCTCGAGTATCGATAGTCGAGTTCTCGATAATCTGACAGATTAATCTTTTAAATACGAATGGGAAAGAGGTTTCCCAGAGCATTTCAACCCAGCCGTACGAACGGGATACTTTAGGCTTGACATCCAGAGGCGCGCGTCGGCTCTTATCTATCGCTTGCTGACGGATGGCAAAACGCGGTGCTCCGATTCTCACGCATCGGACCTCCGGCCTACGCTATCAGGGATGTGTTTATGGCGTACGGTCTTGCGGCAGGAAGAGCGAGCGTGGGCTCCTCTGATATTTCTTGCTTTTAGAGTGCGCTGCAGCTCGTGAGAAATGGGCTGTTTTGAGGGTTTCCCCGGCAATTATTCGAATTTTTCTCAACTTTTAAACCTTCCCTAGACCTCCATGAACATTTCAAAACCAAGATGAGATAAATCCGTTCAGCCGTTCTCGAGTTTTAGCGAGACTAACGAATAGCAATTCATTTATATAT